TTGGCTTCAGAGTTGAATGCTAGGTCTTATAGACAGCAACTCGGGGAATGTGAACTCCTCTAAGCCCTAAACCCCTACACCCCTACACCCTAAACCGTTTAGGGTTTGGAGGTTGCAGGGTTGAGGCGTTTAAGATTACGTTGTCCTGGGCTTTCAGCGCGTTAGGTGCTGTTGGGTTTCGGAGGGTTCCGAGGCATTACTATTTGTTTTTTCCTTTAAGGGATTCCATAGTTTTGGTGTTAGGTTTTGTCTTTGGATCCCAGGGTACAGCAGGGCTTCAGAGGACGAGCGGTCAGGTTGTACTTTGTAGTGTTTCTTAGGAGTTGCGGCTTTAAGTTTGCAGGTTGTGGGCCCGGGCTCGGGTTTCAGGTGCAGGGCTTAGGGATGCAGGGCTTAGGAATGCCAAAATTGATGCCGAAAAAGCTTGAATCCTGTCATTCTTTATCCTTGCTGCCAGCACCCTGAACACAGATCCCAATAGCTAAATCGGCAAATGGACTCTCAAAATCAGTAGACCTGCCGCCCCTGAAAGGCCGGCGGTGACAGCAAAGCGGTCCAGGAGAGGGAGTTTAATCGCCGTAGGCCTGGGCCTTATGTTGAACCCGAAATTGCAATCCCTAAAATTTAGGATTTAATCCCGATGCCTAAACCCCCAACCCCAATCCCTCAACCCTAAACACGAATCCCTGAACCTCTATCCCTACAAAAACCTCAATGTTTGAGTAAGGCTCCTGGGACTCCCCCGAAGCTTTTCGTGCAAGGTTCGGGCTTTGAAGGCTTAGGCTAACGTTTGGGATTTCAGTATTGCACATCTAGGTTCAGCGTTTAGGTTGTTCAAGGTCTCGGGTTTGAGATGCCACTACTGCGCATCTAGTCTTAAGGTTTAGGTTTTTGGGCTTAGGTTTTGGGACTCCCATATTGCCGATCCTAAGGGCATTCAAGGTACTCAGAACTCCTCTTAGTTCCGCTGGGAGCTTGTTAAGGTCTTTTTGGTATGGGGTTATTGTATACCAGTCAAAGAGGAGATGCACTGTAGCCTTTGCGTAGGTTTCCATGCTCTGTGCCCCCAGGTTTAAGATGTATGGCTTAGGGTTGACGGGTTTTAGGGCTTGTGTCTTGGGATCGACACCTTCTAGAAGAGGGACAACAGCAGATCACGCACCAAATGATGCTGCTCCTCAAGTATCCGGAACGTAGGTGGAGCTGCTTTCTCCTGGCTAATGTCTATCCACGCTTGTACATTGGTGGCTTCTAGAAAAGAGGACCCATCTATATACCCCGAAAAGAATATCCCCTTTTTAGGAGCGCCCTCAAAGGGATCCCTATTTGCTGGACCCCTCTCTTGGAGGGCCGTGTCATAACCTACACAGAAAGGGCCCATGATTTGGAGAATAACCCATAAGTCCTAGACCCCACCAAGCTGTTCTAGTCTTAGTAGGGTTTTAGGGTGTATGACTCCCCGTGACAGCATGACCTCCTCAGCTGATAGAGCCACACCGCCACCAGAGCTACGTACTGTACAGCTACCAAAGGAACGCTCCCTTCCCCCAAAACATGAAACCCCCACCCACCCCCCGCCCAGTGATATTCAGTATAACCCAACCCTAGCCCTAGAGGCCAAAATCCTAATCCCCTTAGACTCCTAACCAATTTCATCCCTAGAGCCAAACCCCGAAATTCATCAAACACCCCAGATGGCCCTTTGCCTCAACACTAACACCCCAAACTGCCACTTCCCAACTCGAAGTCAGAGACCCCTACGTTGCCCTACACACAAAACCCCTAAGCCCTAGGTTTAGGGTTCAGGGTTTCAGGGTTTCAGGGTTTAGGGTTTTAGGGTTTAGGGTTTATGGGTCCGAGAACCCTTAGCCCCAAGATCCTCATCCAAAACCTCCCCGGCAATAAACAACACCCATGAACGGTAGTTTTGCAAAATTCCTGTCCCCAAAATGGCCATAATGTATGTGTTCCAAGGTTTGGATAGGATCTCCTTTAAGGAAGTGTATTCCCAACGTTCCCTTCTTTACAAAGACAGACAGAACAGCCCCCTAACCCGCCGCGAGCGCCGAAAACTGGCTTGCTGGTGAGGAACCCAATGAGGTTACTATCACTAAGAAGCCCTTCTAATAATTTAATTTTCTATACATGCATCGTGATGGCAACTTGGTTTAAGGTCTTCAAATCGCATGAGACCCCTGTTTCCATTTCACTATTTTTGGTTCTCCATTATGGTAACTCACTTGAACTTCCGTAGCAGCAAACCACAAAGCCCAAACCTTCAAACCCTAATGGCATATCACATATCTACATTATTTATGCTCGTACATAACGCCTTTCCAGTTCATATAAACTGCTGCAGCCGCAACTCAGCGAAGGAGCAGCTGACAAAGGTCTCAAAACTTCAAGCCTCCGCGCGCGCCTTTGCGGCCATCTGCGAAGGTTGGGATGGGGGTACGAGTTGGGAAACTGGAGTTTGGGATGGGGGGTGGGAGGCAAGAACATGTAGGGTTTAGGGTTTTTAGGGTTTGGGGCTTAGGATGGGTTATATGATGATTGTATAGGGATGGAGAAGTTGCATGAAAACATTATGTCCGCAAGGGAGAAGCAAATCGACAAAGAAATGGAAGGTGATATGTTTATGCGTGCGTAGGGGCTTGGCTTTCAGGATTTACGGTTTACTCGCTAGTTATCAGTGAATGGAGGAATGGAAAACAACATGGAAGTTACATTTAGTCTTGAACCCTAAACCCTAAAGCCCCCCAATAATCCTGAACCCTAAATCTTCAGGGTTTGCGGGCAAGACCCATTTTGACTGTCTGGGCCATTGCGGATGGAGGTTTACCCAACGGGCAGTGTTTTGATTCAAACAACAGGGAGTTCAAGGGTTTAGGGTTTTGCCGTTTTGCTGGGTTGGGTGTGGAAGCATGAACACTAAAAAGTAAAGGGATTCAGGGGCGTACTGAGTGTCTAGGGAGTTTTCCCCATGTTCCTTGTACGGGCTAAGCAGAGGTTTCTAGGTTGAGGGTTGAAGTGTTACGAGTTGGGGATTAGAGGCTTACGGGTTTAGGCTTGAGGTTTTGGGCTGCAGGGTTTATTTTAGGGTTGTAGGCTTCAGGAGGGTTTTTCAGGCTTCAGGGTTTAGGGCGTGTTGTTTTTTGTTTCATGAAATTACGGTTTAGGAATGCCAGGTGTCACAAGTTTTGGGTCTTAAGGTTTAGGGTTTCAGGTTTGGTTCGCTGCTACGAAGCTGGGCAAGTCATCATAAAGGTTGCTGTGCCATCAGTTTACAGTAGCGTGATTCTCGGCATTGTAACTCACCCATTTCTGGCTTCCTCAAGCTGGTTCTTAGGGTTTCCTAAAATTAGGGTTACCTTCTAGGTTTAGGGTTTAGGTACATTAAAGGGGCTTCTGGGGGGGTCTATAGGGTTATATAGGGGGATATAGGGTTTAGGGTTGGTGTTGTGGGGGTTAAGTGGGCGGTACTCGGAGCGTCACAGGTATGTCTAAGCTTCTTACCTAATTAGGTGGGCGTTGAGAGATTAGCTCCTTAGCCTTAGGGGGGTTAGTTAGGAATAAGGGAAAGTGTATTTATATAATAGGGAGTATACAGGGATCATATTCCCTTAATCTCTACTGAGCCTCACTAGGCCCGAGTAAGCCGTCAGCCCTGAACCTGCTGTGGGTCATGGGTTTGACTTGTTGGAAACCCTAAACCTCAAATCCGAACCCTAAATCGTAAACTTTATACACCCTATGTCCTAAACCTTTAAAGCACTAAATCCTTAAGCTACAGAAAGGGGTTCATAGGTGATTCGAGGAGAGGCTGCGAGTAGCTTCTGAGGGGAGCTTCATGGGCCTAGCATGCTTAAAAGAGTGCATTGGGTTCAGGAGGTTTATCGAGCTTAGGTTTTGAGATCCTGGATATGTTTGAATGCTTGGGTTGGACGGTGTACCAGTGCTTTGCTCCATGAACTCGGGTTACATATTCTTGCTTTTCTTGTCCTGGGACAGGGATTTGTGTTACTCATCTCATTCTCCGTGCTTGGTTTGTTTGCGGCGTACTGCAAGGCCATCCTGTGTCATTCTATCAATCCTCTACGTCGACTCTACGTATTGTTTCTGCCTTTTGCTTCCCCTACACCACCTGCCCTGAACCCTAAACCCCGAGCCCCTGAACTTCAAACCATTTCAGAATGCCAGAAACGCAAGAACTTGATTTGAGGGTTTACTTCGGGTAAACCCTGAATAACCCTAAACCTGAAGCCAGAAATCCTCGAGCTCTTGTGCTTCTACCCTCCCCGAGTTAACATTGAACGCAAGGGGAAAACCGTTTTAGCAAGGGCTGCGTTTTCGGGGTTCATGTAGGCTGCAAACCCCAAAGTCTCTGTAGAGCATTTACCCGCTATGTATTCCTCTCAACCCCAAACTCTGACTCTAGCTCACCACCCTCAGCTCCAAATTAAGGCCCCCTTCAGAAAAATGTAGCCCTCACGCGCCCCAGAAGCACGAGAGATTGACCTCTGGAAGCCCTTTTTCAAAGTAAGCCGAAACCTTAAACCTGAAACTCTACACCCAAAACCCTGAAACCCCAAAACCCTACACCCTAAAACCCTAAACCCTAAGCCAAACTCGCAGTACCTCTTCTTTGCGTAGCAGAGGCGGCTCAGTGGTTACCTGGGGCCATCCAACTGCAGGAGGTGATAGTAGCGCTGCCACCCGCCTAGAGATTCGGGTTTAGGGTTTTAGGGATCAGGGTTTTAGGGATTAGGGATTAGGGTTCAGGGGTCAGAGTTTTTTTGGTTCAGAGTGTAGGTTTTCGAGTTGGGGTTTGTGGCTTAGGGTAGCCCACTGAACTTGAATTCAGGAATATACCCGCAGCAATCAAGTAGAAAATGACATGGAAAATGTGTTCTCATATGGGACTTTCGGGATAGAGTACCTTAGTTGTTTGCGGAGTCTACCTTAAATGAAACTAAGCCCACAGATATGATTCGAGGAATATGCCTCGGTACTTAGCCGGTTTGGGAGCGTTTATTTTGGAGCAGTGTCGGGGCTCTGGAGAGGTTAGGTTGGCTATGCATTTAAGAGCTTCAGGAATAAAGGAGATTTAGGGGACTGCATGGGGCAGACTGCAACAGCCGATACTGAGATACCGGGAGTCTCATATTTCGTATTTATAGTGATGGGCCCTGGGAAGGTGTATGATGAGCTAGGTCATTCCCCCTTACAGTAGCAGTTACACTAGGAGTTATAATGGCCCCTTAATAAAGCCCCTTTAAGGACCGTTGCTGTAAGGGGGAATGATCGGAATGATAAGCGCGTATGACCTTGGATCGTTCCGGCAGGAGGGCTGGTCCGCTAAACCGTTGAAGATCACCTTCTTCATCGCCGAATTCCAGAACCACTCTATTCTGCTGTCTTGAAATAAGCCCCACATAAACACGAATATGTGTGTGTATGTATATATATGTGTATATATATATACCCATACATGTATGTGTATATGTAGATATATACACCCTTTCATCACTTAAGCGGCCCTCTATTACACACCAAGGTTCAGGCGCAGCTTTATGACATCGAGCACATCTACGCCTCTGGGTGCCCCGTGAAGGTGAAGGAGTTCGTAGGTTTCAGTTGGTGGGGCAGGACTTTAGTTGTTGAGCTTGAAGATGCTTAGAGATCATTGTTGGGCCGCACGGTTTAGGGTTCAGGGTTTAGGGTTTAGGTTTTAGCGTTGAGGGTTTAGGGTAGGGAGTATATAGAAATTCTTTTGGCATGTGGGCATAGACCTTAAACTCTAAGCCCTAACCCTGAAACTCAAGTACTTGGTTACCCCTAATCTCGGGGGTATGGGTGAAGGGGCCTCCCTTGAGGACCAAATGAAAACGAGGTGGGCTGCTGTTATGGAACACATATGGAATTCCCCTTTAAGGAACCTTTCAACTTTCTTTACTATACATCCAAATCATGGTTGGCAGCCATAGTTGCGGCCACCAAACTTGGGTTCGTGTTTCCGATTGATACCTGGACTGCATGGATGACCAGGAACCATAAACATATACATTTGCCGTGGCCGCCCGAGCATATGGATGTGTCTGGATTTGGGCATGTTCATATTGAATTATGCGTTCGTGCGTTTCAGCCTTTTTGCTTGGTCCCTTTTTTTCTCAAAATGGGCGATGTCTAGGGATTAGAGTTTGGGGCATGTCCACCTGTAGGATTACAACGGGCAAAGGTACATGGGGACTAGAGGATTAGACCTCCACCCAGTTTTCAGCTCCTAGATTAGACATCTGACCTTCTGAAGCCCAGGTATTCATTTGTGGCCCTTCGCCGCGACGGAGCAGCTATCTCCTGGGGAAGTCCCACGGACGGCCGGGCCAGTGGTGAATGCAGAAGCCTAAGGACTTTAGAAGAGACCGCGCTGTAATATGTACTTAGTTAACACAATGACCTTTTATGCCCCAGAATTCTATTCCGAATGAACCTGCGGACACGGATCCCTCGACGAGAAATCCGCCGACATCGCGGCAACTTGCACTGGTAGGGTAAGTACCCTAAGGGTCCAAGGACCCGAATAATGGGGTTTTATGTATAGTATTTAATGGTATTTGGGCCCTGAAACCCCATTATTTGGGTCCTTGGGCACTTTACAGTACTACCTTCCCCAGGCTAACATGGACCCCGTATCTGCTCGCCTGACATTCACAGCGTTCTTTGCAAAGCATGTTTTCAGGTTCCATAATATTACCCAATATTTTGGGGTTATACAGGGGTAATGGAACAGAAAATGGAAACGACTATAGTATATTTGAGTATATAATTGGGGTTCAGGGCCCAAATATTCTAATTCGAATGGTATTTGGGACCTAAAGCCCTAGTGCTTGGGTCCTTGGACCCTTAGGGTTAGTCTTGTGGGAGTATATGCCTTACACCATGAGAAGCCTACGCAGTTTGGGCATCCATGCAACACTTCCATTCCCGACCCCTTTGTGTGGGTTTCATCGTGTCTGTGCCATGTGTCCTGATCCTAATGAGCCCCGTATACTGCTTTGGGCGGGGAGGGTTTTACACAGTTCCGATGCTCGTGCTGAAGAGGCGGTGATAGCAGCTCCGTCCAAGACCAGCTGAAGAACGTCGTGAAGGTAGCGTAGAAGCATTCCCTACAAGCCTAGTTACCTGTAGTATAGGTGGTTGCAAAAAGCAGGGGTCCTTCTTTGGTGGGGTGCCTGTGGTCAGGGTTAAGCTACCATATAGGAGCTTCCTGGGTTGTAGAAAGTACGAGTGTACGTCAGGAAGTAGGGGCAATAAACCCGTATAGTCTCCTTAAGTAGATAAAATATGGGGTATATGGGGATCTTACTATAACATACCCAAAGCCATATTCTATCTACTTAAGGGGGATTATACCCTAAACCCTAAATAGTAGTTTCCATTTTCTTTTCCATTATCCCCAAGGCCATATTCTATCTACTTAAGGGTGACTATAACCCTATAACGCGTATAGGCAACTGGGCTTCTAGGGATCGGGTAGGAAGCTTGGAGGGGAAGAGGGCAGTTAGGATGAAGGGGGTTTAGGGGGTGTAGGGTTTAGGGTTAAGGGGGTTTAGGGGATTTTGGGATCCATAGCTTACAAGGTTCAGACCGTAGAAGGGATAAGGACCCAACGTGTTTTTCTCCATTAGAGCATTCACTTGGGTGGTTTTTTCGGCTGGAAATACTGGGCTGTACTTCCCCTAAACCCTAAACCCTGAACCCTATCGTTGTTGCAAGAACCAGGAGTTGAGGGTGGCAGTCGGCGTTTAGAGGTGTAAGGCTTGGGGTTTCTAGGGTTTATGGATTCCGGGCTTAGGGCTTAGGGGTTGGGGAGTAAGCGTAAGGATATAGGGGTTGGAATCTAAGGGGCAAACGCTTTTGGTTTCAGGGTGGAGGCCTTGCTGTTTAACAAGCACAGCGCCAATGACATGGATGGATTCGGAAAGCGAGGGTCACCTCTCCAAAGCCCCGCAAACTGCTAAACCTTTATTTGAGCTACTGACCCTGAAAAGTGGAAATAGGGGTCCCTCTTGTAGTTTAGCATAATCCCAAATATATTTCCTCGTTGCGCAACCCATGTCCATTCAATCATATGGGGAAATATTGACTGTAGCTCATATGAGGTTCTAAGATTTTAGGGTCTAGGATACAGGTTTGTCTCTCTTAGTTGATTTTTGTCAGGTCTCAACATAGATATGGTAGTTTCCCTAAATAAGGGGATCCAATATAGACCCCAATATACTATAATCCTTATTATGGGACCCCTAAAATGGTACCCCTAATTTGGGTTGCAAAGCTTCAAGAAAGGCCTTGCCTCTCTTCGTATTTTCGGAAGAGGCCCAACATATTCCAATCCACCTAGGAAGGAAGGATCATGGCGCACAAATCATGAGAATTCATTCTTGTTTCTTGTAATGGCATAGCTTGCCTACCTTACTGAGAAATCTGAGAACCTCCATACAATTCAAGTTGCACTTAGCGTTGGAACCTCACGGAATCGATTCATTCACTAGAGTATAGGACAGATGAAGGGGGTGATGAGGCGACCTACTAAACCCTCACGTCAAACCCCAGACACAAAGCCCAAGGCACAAGCCGACCCCCTGAATCCTAGACTCGCCCCTGCAGCTCAAACCAACCCTGAAGCCTTAACTCTAGATAAATACACCTCTAAATCATAATTCATTCACCCTGAATCCTGCACTCGTAACCCTTAACCAGAAATCCTAAACCCCCTATGCCCCCCTCAATGCAAAAAAAACGAATTCTAAACCGGAATCACAAAATCTTGAAACCAGCTTAATGGCAGATTCCATTTTCTTTTTCATTACCCAGCGAAAGAGTGAATAGTAGTTTCCACCCTAAAACCCTAAACCCCAGCCTTCCAAGTGAAAGCCCAAGCACCAGGTGGCTGGCTCCGCCACCGCCTTCGCGGCAATCTTGGCCAATGGCGAGGTAGTCTCCTGGGGTTCCTGGGCATGCTGCCTTGAGGCTATGTAGTAATAGACGGCCCCTTGAAACCCTAAACCCTATCAAAGGTTTCTTGGGAATATATACTTGAATATAGGGTTTGGAGGAGAAACTGAGCTTATCTAGGGGTCGCGCAGGGATTGCAGTGTAAGGGCTTAAAACAAAACTACCAGGTTGTTTTGAGAGTGTGCTATACAATGGAAACATAACGTTCAAACGTTATGAAATTGGATACTGCCCCCACTCATTTCCAGCCGGTTAATATCAATGAAGTACCTAAACAGAGCCATATTAACCCCTACTATACACTGTTAATGGATGGGGGCAGGACCCAAGTCATGAACAATAATGCTGGCGATTATGCAGAGTCTACAGTAAATCCCCAGGAGCTGCAAACAAGGGAAGGGATAGGGGTTCAGGGATTTGGGTCTAGGGTTTTAGGATTTGGGTTTGGGGTTTAAGGGTTTCGGGATTTGGGCTGAGGGTTTAGGGATTTGGGTCCAGGGTCTAGGCCTTTGTGTTTAGGATTTAGCGGTTTGGGTTTAGGGTTTAGGGCATAGGGAGTCTAAGGACCCCCAACACTGACCCTGGAGTTCCAGTTTGGTCCGCTTAGCCTGGGTTCCTCTTTAATCCCCCTTGTTGAAACAGTCTTAGGGAGTCTGTTCCACTTGGGCGACTGTGTCGTGGGGAGTGGGGCTCCGGGTTGAGGAACTGTGCAGGGGTTGGTTGGGATTTCGGGCTTTGCAACTTAGGAATCACTCTTTGGGATCCATGACTACCAAGAGAATGGGGTGGACTTACATCCTAAGAGGAACAGTTCTCCCGCTCGGAGGAGTTTATAATGTCTGTCACCTACACAAGCTCTACCGTGAGGCCAGCAATGCATTTAGCTCAAATAGGCGATCAGGGCGTAGGCAAGGTTTTTGGGCTTTGTGCCATCAGGAGGTTGATCAGTAGTTCTGTCCACCTACACTGCTGGATTCCCATTGAAGCTCCAAAGATGGAAAGTTTGCAGCCTGTATCATCCTCCCAGATCCACGAAGATTCCCGCATGGAAGCCCCTGAGTCTTCAGAATGCCCCAGAATAATACAGTCTGCGGCACTTCATCACCCGTGTAAGGCTCTGAAGAGAAATCCCGGCATGAAGCAGCAGTTTTTTTGCAAAGAACTTTGCTCGTGCAGAATTGCCCCTTTCGATCGCTTCTCGCGCAATGGCCTGCTTGTCGCTGCCGTCGGACACGAAAGTCCTCTACAAGCAGGAGAATCCGAAATGGCCCGGCACCAGCGCTTTCAAGCGCTATGAGGGCTATAAGAGGTCCAAGACGGTCGGGGAGGCGCGAGCCAACGGCGCAAGAAAGAAAGATTTGCGTTTCGACTGGGAGAAGGCATGGCTCCGTGCCTCGAAAGCAAAAGCATGAAAACCATGAAAGCCGCCAAAAAGGCGCGCCTTGGCCATGTGTAGAGTTTTGCGTGGGATTGATTGGGTTCAGTGCTGATGATGGCTGCTTTTCCAGCATGTGTGCTGTACGCAACGAGCTGCAACAGTGCATCGTACAGTGTTGTGAAAAGGGTGACGCGGCTGGTGGAACTGGAAGTGATCAGGCAAGCGCAGGAACCTGTATCCACTAGTTGCAAGGGATACGGGCTCCTTTTGAAACACAGATCGGCGTTGTTTTGGACCGCGGCTTGGCGTCATTTGGAAGGCATTTTGGCGTCATGTTGGAACATTAGGATGTTTGAGGGCTCATTTTGGCACATAGGATTTTGCTCCCTAGTCCAAGGTTCGCCCCACTTGCGCAGGGCTTTGAGGAGTCCGGGTTTTTAACGTATACTCGCCCGAGCCGTCCAGGGTCGGCCTCATTAGCCATTAGCCCAAAGTCCTCCCCATCACGCAAGGGCTTGAGTAGTTCTGCTTTTAACGTATGGCGCAAGCCTTGTCCATTTACAGTAGTCCCAGCGGAAGGTGCTGAAAGCTATGAAGCCAGTACATGTTAGCCAAAATGAGAAACAAGTTCATGCATGCATTGCATGGTAGCACCAAAATGAAGACCAGTCCGCCACTAATCTTCTATTTGGACCAGCTAATAGTTGCAGATGTCCACTCCACTTTGGAGCACACGCAGCTTCACATTCTCAAGTTCTCAAAAACTTCTTTACTGGAGCAGAGGCCTCTTCAGGTATCCCAACCTCTTCCTAAAGGGGTGCTGCTACCTTTGCCTCAGTTAGCCCCTCCTCCTTAGGCAAGGGCATTATGGCAAGCTCTCGAGAAGGAACAGGCCAGGGGGGGGGATGTCCCTGAAAGCGGTCCAAAGGCTACGCCGTCAGGGCCACAAGATGGCCACCATCTTCAAACACTTTTGCTTTTAGACCCGCTCCACCCAACAAACAACTTCACCTACAACCACACCTGACCACTCCGCCAATGATATATGGAACATTCTTAAGAAAAGCTACGCGGAACGCTCAGAGCTTAGCTGAGCTTCCAAAGCATCAAGCTCTTCTAGAGACCAGACCCATTCCACTTCATATTACCAACTTCGATGGGGTTTTTTTCATTTCCAATGGCAACTGCATGCAGGGGTTACAGCAGTCATCCCACTGAAATGATCCTGTGGAAAAGTGCTTGGCCACTGTACATATAGCTGCTATATATACCCCGTTTATTTTATAGTAGTTTCCATGTTCTTGTCCATTATCACTTTAAACCCTAAACCCAAAACCTTAAACCCAAACCCTAAACTCCACATCCCCAGTGTATCCGCACCTTCCCGCTACATAGCCTAATCTTAGGTTTAGGTCCCCCCTCCACCTAGACCCTAAGCCCTGCAACATTGAAACCCTAAACCTGCGCAGTCAACCACAAATCCTTAAGTCCTAAAGTACTATTGTTTGGCTAATTAGCCAAACAAGCCTAAACCCTGAACCCCTAAGCCCCAACCCAGTACCTCCCTAAGCCCCAACCCAGTAACTTCGACCCTTACCCCTCTACCGTAGACCCTCAGACATAAAGCCTACAGTCGTCACGACCACCCTAAACCCTACTCTAAACCCTAAACCGCTAAAATCCCAGGCAACCCACAAGCCGGGGGAGACAGCAGCGAAGTTCAGGGGCAGCTGACAGACGTGAAGGATGAGTGGGCTAGCGGGTAAAGGTAGGGGATTTATGGGGCTGAAGGTTTGGGGTCTTAGGATGTTACGCGCCTCGGATTCTAGGACCCACGGGGACACGCCAAGGTTGGGAGTTGGTATTTGTAAGGATTTGGGATGCTTACTGGTTAGTAGGGAACAAAAGAATACAATTCCTACAGAATCCCCACAAAATACATTCCCTTATTCCAAACCCCCGAGTAAGGTTAGGTTTAGGGTTTCACAAGGGCGGAGGGTCTACCTACGTCGAGGTTCATGGCTACGGCTACAGTCGAGGAGGTATCCAGGCCACTGTAGATATAACCCATATATATATATACACCCTATTGTACTATACTACTTTCCATTTTCTTTTCCATTATCCTTATATAACCCCTATATACTAATATACTATGTGCAGACTCAAAGCGCGCAATGTTCACTTATTCCTGTTGTCAGACTTGGGCCTGGCGTTCAGCTCATGGAATCGCGGCTGGACAGTGAACATTTTTCCATGAAGCGGTTGTTCTGGTTTGTCAAGAAGTAAGTCTCAAAGCTACACCCATGAGAAAAGTGTTCGAACTCAGAGCTGATTGCAGATAGTATATTGGGTTTATATAGAGGTTATATAGGGATAATGGAAAAGAAGATGGAAACTATTATAGTATACTAGGGTATATATAGAGGCTTATATCGCGGCGCGCCAACGTGAGTACCAAAGTTGTAGCAGCGTCACCTGACGTGTTGGGTCGAGAAGACGCCCATACTGACAGTGGCTGAAGCTAGGGTGGCAGCTCACAGACCAGCGCCTGCACGCTTGAACTTGCTACATGACATGGGGCGAAGCCTTGTCATTCCCTTGAAAGTCGAAGCTAGAAGTCCCTACAAGAACCATATTCATCTTCGGAATCCTTGAGGGTTTGCTCTCCCCCTGCCGCAAAAGCCAATGAAGCAAGTGTAGGATGTTATGCCATAGCTTCTGCTGATCCCTGTAGCAGCCCCGAGCTAGTACGAATATGCCATTCGGATCGTTTCGTTACAGGACAAAGCAGGGACCTGGCCTTTGAGGAACATTAGCTGTTTTGAAATCTATGCCTCAACCTTACCTGTGACACAGCTACCTACAGCCTTATGGCTTACACCTACTTAGTCAGGCTTTGTGGTAGTTACTTTGAAGCAGTAGGTAACTGGGGCTGTAGCTAGACCTTGGGTGACCCCCAGCCCATTGATAGAGAAGTGTCATGGGAATGTATGGCGACCGTGTTATAGTTCCCAGGAGCCTTTGTCGTATTAGGGGTGAGCCCTTATTACCTAGACCATTGTACCCTCACCACCAAACCTGCAGCCATAAATTCAGGAAACCCAATCAACACGATACTTCCTCAAGATGGAGTTTCATAGATCAACGCGAGACTTTCTCAAGATGGAATATCATCGAACCCTTAACAGGATCCCCAGTCCCCCCTGTAATTCCTACATGAAGAGTAGATCTAGTTTGCGGAAACCTCAGTCCCGTATCCCCCGTCGCGAAGACCCTACAGACCCTAATCCAAATGTCAAGTAGATTTAATCTTACTCATTATCCATATTATTGTCACGGCCGGTGTTTGAATATGATATAGTCTACCCCAAGACCGTTACGCCCCAAGAGGAGGTGGTTGCCTCTGGTCTCGGTTTTGCCGCCCTGCGCGGCGCTGGCGATGTGATAGCATGGGGCCGGCACCCTGAGCGGCAACTTTTATTGGTGGTAACCCCAAGAAGGAAGGAATACTGGTATCTCGTCATACTGGTCTCTACAATGAGTAGAAGGGTTTATGTAGGGATTATTTTGGGTAAAAGAAGGGCTTTGGTAATCCCAACTAACCCCTAATG